TTATGACAAGAATGATTTTGACTTTCCATTGATGTCTAAATTGCATGCAACCACTAGCTAATACAGCATAATTCTCATTTAATTTAAAAGGGTAAATGACCTACAGTATATTTGTGTAGCACCTTCTTAGGGTTCTATAACCCCCAAGGCGCTTCACAACACGATCATTCACCCATTCACACTCACGTTCACACGCTGGTGATGATGATCTACATTGTAGCTACAGCTGCCCTGGGACAGAGACGAGGCCTGCTGAACACTGCACCACCGGTTCCTCCGACCACCACCACCAGGCAAGGCGGGTTAGGTGTCTTGCCCAAGGACACAACAGCAGCATTCTCTGCCGGGAGCCAGGATCAAACCTGGACCGCCCGCTCTACCCCCTCAGCTACTTGGTTGGACAGGCTGCATTGACATTCTTTTTTTAACACAACAAAAGTGTCATTTTTACCTTGTTTTTGCTAAAGTTTAGACCAACACCGTAGCATCACTCAGAGTTTTGCAGCTTTTGGCTGCATCACTTCCTTCTCTGTTTATCATAAGGCAGCAGAGGACGGTGTTGCCCTCTGCTGCCCGCGCTGTCCTTGCCGATGACACACACTCATGCATGATCCAATGTGTGGACCCCATCATCTCAGTTCATGGTTTAGTGCCCTCGTCTCTTTTGGCTTCCTTAATCATCTTTCGCATTTTTGTTGTTCTGTGTTTATGATCCGTGATCCTTCCCAATCCATAACATGATTTTCCCTTTTCTGTGAGTTCTTTATTATACGTTGTGCATTTTGTTTCACTGCTCTTGTGTGCCTTCGACTTGTTCTTTTCTATGCTCTACTGTTTGTGTGTCCGGTTTCTCCTATGTATGTTTTATTGCAGAGTTTGCATGGGATTTCATAAATGACTCAACACTTATGTACTGCTGATATCTTGTCTTTTGGGTGTACTAGTCTTTTTCTAACAGATGGTTTTGTTTGTGTGTTTGTTTTGTTTTTTTAATTGTTGCTATTTATTTTCTGTTATGCCTTTGATGCATGGAAGGGTTATTACTGGTTTTGGTTCTTTGTTTTGTTTTGGTTTTTCTTTTCTTTCTGTTGTTGTTTGTTGTTTTCATTTGTTCATTGCCAATATTGGGTATCTGCAGTTTTTGTAAGCATATGTTGGTCTTCTTGTTTTTGTTCTTCTGTTATGTTTGCTTGGTGGTATTTACATTCTAATCATGTCTGTGAAGGTTCTCAGTCATCCAGGTCATTGTAGTCTAAGGAGCTTGAAAGAAAAGCTGACTGATCACTGACATTTTATGTTTGGTTAAAGACCATCTGCAAAAATGTATTTGTCCAAAAAAATGATGAAAATATTCCATCAACATGCAAATACTACTCAGCTTTTCAGTGTGGAACCTGGATTGTATTAGTTTTAAACACATTATAAATTTGAACACATTCCTAGAAATGAGAGCTGATCGATAACAGGGTGAATTCCATCCCTCCTAATCAGATCAGGTTTACACTAACAACTTTGCCAGTTTTCTAAGTAGTCCTCACCAATCACACCCAATCAGGCACAATAATCTAACAATAAATGTATAGAAAATCTCACAATGAAAAGAAAATGAATAATAATGATGAGGTGTTTTCAGATCAAGTAGCAGCCATTATTTAGTCCTAAAGGACAATCAGCTAAGCTCATTAATGAATCATTTCTGTAAACAAATGTACACACCATCCACATAGGTTTGTCATTTATTTTCCTGAAAGGAACATTTAAACAGGCCAAATGTTACCTAAAGCCATGATGAGGACGTTTTGATTAAGGGAAAGGAATTCAATGATATGATGCTCTGAGTGAATTAAACAGTTTAAACCAACTGTTGTTTCACTCCTCTGGGCATTGAAGCTCTGTTTACAACCGATATAACATTAACATAAACATTTGCAATCTAAGAGAAATTGTACAACCAAACATCCTGAAATGAAGATGTCATGTTTTTTTAGAAGAACCTTATAAACGTTGTAGGTACACTTCACTCCACTGTAAAGATGTTGATTAAAATGTAAGGTATTTTTTTTACAAGCTGTATAAAATTGGGCCCAGTACAGAGCCCTGTGGGACACCAGTTAACAGATACAAAGGTTCAGATTTACCACAGACTATTTAAAGAAATTCAGAGGGTAATACTTTACAACAACAACCCCTACAGGAAAATGGGTAGAAGTTTTTCTAGATTATACCATCACTAATTGTTTCAAATTATTTTAGTAAATAAATAAACACAGCCCCAACAATCTACTGAGGTTGACACCATTTTTTGTGAAACATCATGCAGTATTTTATGTAGAAAGATTAGACCTGAGATTAGATCCTCTGTGCCTCTCGAGGGGGGCGGGGGCCTTTCTGGTTGCAGTCTCCTTGGGGTTCCTGCATTCTGGGGCAACGCCTGGATCTCTGGGACTTGGAGCTCCCCCTGTCTCCTGCGCATCTTTGGGGGGCGGATCTGTGGTCCCTCACAGTCTCTGTTGGACGCTCTTATAGAGAAACCTTACATAAACAAGCGCGTGTACACACACAGGTGCTCACATGGTGCTCTCAAAAGTATGGGCTTGGGCACGTTCAACACATGTCTTAAGGCTGTGGTTGGCACTTATTGCACTGTTATTTATTATCGTGATTCTTCAGTTAAGCAATGTTGATTATATATATATTGGTTTTTTTTGTTTTTTTTTTCATCAAGTTGACGCAGTGATAGCTAGATCTTATTGTATTGTTGTTGTGTCCCTTTTTTGTGTCCTTTTGTTTTTTTTTGTTTTTTTTTCTGCAGGTTTAGAAGCAGACTCTTGTTCATTGTTTATTTTTGTGGACCCCCCCCCTCCACCTTTTCTCTTCCTTTCTCTTTCACCTCTGTCTCCGTGTCTGGTCGGAATTACAAAGCATTCAACAACAATAACAATAAAGTTTTAAGTATCAGGCATGACATTAAAAGCAGACGCTTTGATGCTCCACCTGAGAATAAATCTGTAAGGCTTGTCACCAGCATTCAGACATCAATTCTGCTTGCTTCACAGCCAGACAGGACACGGTAAAAAAAAAAAAAGAAAAAAAAAGAAAGATTAGACCTGAAAACAAAACTGTATTTGATCCATTGAAAGGAACCACTTTTGAGATGAACCGTTATTTGCTGAGCAACCTTTTGTACAAGTGTTCTCTGCCACTGAAGTCACGTACTGAAGGCTGTATAACATCAGCTAGATCTTTTTCACCAATGTTGAACTTGATTGTTATAGCAACAGTATTGACATGTCTGTCTTTTTAATTTGGTCTCTCATACGAATTGACTTATTAGAATTTCAGATAGTTGTAATAACACATTCTGCATTTGCTTCCCTAAGGGCTATTACTGCTTTAAACGTATTCTAGCAATGATGCAAATTAGACTTTAAAGCAGCATTTATGGCATCATCTCACTTCTTCAACATTTTTTACATCACTGCCAAGCCAAGATGATGCATGTTTCTCATTCCTTTACTTAATTGTTGCTGAAAACTCTGCAACCTTAGATTATAATAATTTTATGAAACATCGACAGCTGAATCCTATTTGAGCATCACACTCATTCAGTTCAGATGTTACTTTAAAACCATCAGTGTTGTTATTGAGGAACCTTTCCTACAGAGTCAAGGAAAAGCTTAAAGTCAGTTTTCTTGAAATGCAAAGCATTTTATGGTTTGATCGGCCAATTATCATATCATTTCATTACCATTTCACAATTTATCTGGCATGTTCCTGAACAATTAGTATAACGGTTTTATTTGCTATTCTTGTTGAACATTTAAACAACTGAACCAAATTGAATCTGTCAATTACTTGATTGAGTTGCTTTGTTGTCGATTTTGTTTCAGATTTTAAAGTTAAATACGTTACGTCCCTAAACATGTTAAAGAGGCGTGCATGTAAAAGGAGCTAATCAAGATGAAATTGTGCTTTAAGAACTGAAATATACTAAATATACTGAAAGTTGAAACAACAGTGAATATAGTTAACTTGTTTAGAAAAAGCAACAAAAGTAAACAACTGCATCATCCTTAAAGGATCAGATGTGAAAACGTGACTCAGTCAAACGTGCTGGGATAGTTTTGTTTAATGAGGAGGAACAGTCGCTCTTGATCAGATCAAAGAAAGCTGGACACACCATGCAACCTCTGGCTGCTTTCTTCACTTCAAACAAGATAACTATGTCTTTGAGTGCACTTGGCAACTGGGCATTCTTAGCTGTTGATTTAAAATTGTAGCAGTGTTTCTGTATTTTTGGATGAATACAGGCGGTTTTAACACATCACCCTCAGGTGTTGAGTTGAATCAGGTATCAGGGAAGTTTTTGGAAGTAGCTCGGCGTTTTCTTAGGCAGTGCTTCACGAAGAGCTCCTCTCTCAGTCTGACTGAGGAAAGAGAAATTGTGTCCAAGTGGGCTTGTTTATATGCCCTTAACACAGAGGCAGCTGAACAGGACTGCCTTTGTAAGTCTGTAGATGCTTGTTGCTGTGGCAACCCCTCAACTCAGCGGTATAGACACCTGAGGTGAAGAGGCCGTCAAGCTGAAGAGGGAGTTCAACCAATCTTTGTTAGATGGGGGTTTGACTGACTGGCACTAGCAGGTATAACCAGAACCTGGTGTGCAGGAGAGTGGGAGTTTGGGGGAATTTGTTTTGTGAGCTCATTAAAAAAATCATATGTTTCCATCTGTCATGGTTTGTATGTTGTCAGTTTAGTTTCATTAGTTTGAAGACTTACAGGGCCTGCCTTTTCCAAGCTTCACACCCACAGGAGGAGTCAGGTACAAACCATAAATCGTACCACAGCTTTCTCTCTTTCCCGTCTGAGCAAGAGCAAAACTACATGCCAGTCAATGAATTTGTTTTTGAAAGTGTTGCAGTGGTTTGGATGGAACACACATCTGTGTTTGAATGTTCAGGCCTTTCTTTCATTACTTTCTTTTCTGCTTTTTCTTCTAGAGTCTGAGCTTACTGCCTAAGTGATGAAGTTTAACCTGTTCAAGCATCAGACGACGCCCATGGTTGCTGCTAAGCCGACGACGACCAGCGACTTGAGCGTCACTCCGGCTCCTGTCGCATTAGTCTCTGCAGAGAACTCCACTGAGCCGGTCAACAAGAACGATGCCTTTGACGAGATCAAGAACAAGTTCCTGAATGAAATTGACAAGATCCCACGTGAGTGCCAGGCAAAACCCCCCAAACTGTTTTGATCAGCCATCTCTTATTGATTTGACTCCAAACCATTATTTTGGAATTAGATTTTCTCTTTTGCTGCAGGCATCATCAGCCCTGTAATGTCTTTATTTGGTATTGATCACTGGCTGCTCTTCCTGATGGCAGAGAAATCTAATTTTCATCCAATCTAATTGCTAACCTACCACCTCTCACTAAATATATGTGGTACACGACAGGACACCAAGCAAGCTAAATGAATACGTGATCAAACACCAGCATAGTGGCTTACTTCTGATTGTGACGTGTGCTGGACCTTGTTGTCTCCTCAGTGCCGTCCTGGGCTATCATCGCCATTGCCGTGGTCGCTGCTTTACTGATTCTAACATGCTGTTTCTGCATCATCAAGAAATGCTGTTGCAAGAAGAAGAAGAACAAGAAGGGCAAGAAGGGGAAGGGTGACATGGGGATGAAGAACCTGAAAGGAGGAGAGGTACGTTCCTCTGCAGGAGTTTGTAATCAAGCTGAAAAAATTGACACAGCTAGGAAAAATCCTTTGTTGCTAGACTGTTCCTCAGCCTGTTGGTAGCGTCTTTGAGATTTCACATGAAGGATAAAGATGAAATATTTTATTCAACTTTTTAAATAGCGATTTAGCTCGGTAGCATGAAAACATCTGAAAATGTCAGACTATTGTTTTGGATCTAATAAATAACTTTTTGATGTCTCTCCAACTCAGTCATGAGTATTTTCCACAGGTGTTTTTCACATTTTTATTCATCGTTTGTTTTATTTATGTAGTGTTCTTTTATTTCCTGTTTTTGTTGTTTGATGTATTTATCATGAGTGTTATTGTTGCTCTTTCTGTCACTTGTGCTTTAGGGTTTGAGAAAAAAATGACAGTATTTTTATTTATTTATATCTCTTTTATGACATCATTCATAAAAGAGTTACTGAAAAAAAATGTGTCTCTGCCCAGATGCTGCCTTGGGCTTATAAAGTTATGAAATTACATTTTAAAGTTGTTTTAAAACCTAATGGCTGAGCTGCACGAGACAAATTTGTGCAAATGAGAAGGAGTTTCCTCCCTCTGTCATTTTCCTCACTCCCTGCAGTGCAGCTGACTGCATTTGGTGTCTGCTGTGAGTTCAATCTCTTCCTTTGTCTCTGCTCTCCTCCTTCCTGCTTTGTGTCTTATGTGTGCTCCGTGTATCTTGACTGTGGTGGACTTCTTTGTCTACGGTAGGTCTGAGAGCACGCGGCACCCCTCTCTGGCCGCTCAGTGTAAGCGCAGACCAGTGGGGGTGGGTGGGAGGGTGGGTGGGGGTGTTGGGTGGCTGGGCTTAAAGGGGGTGGATTGCAATGATGATGATGATGACAATGAGTGCTATGGCTTCCGTAGTTTTATTTTTTCATTTTATTTATTGAATTATTATTTTGCAAGCTTAGGTGCTGCAGGTGCTTGAGGACTCCATTGGAGCAATTAAGCTGCTTCGCAAAACCCACTAAAGTGATATGCTGCACCAGTTGCTATGTCTTGATTATACAGAGATTGCAACATTGTTTTCAGAAAACAACAGATGAAAATATAACTGTTTCAAAGCTGATGGTTTGAAATGAACATGAAAGTCATCCTATAGTTGAGCCTTTGAATGTCGAGTGCACCCAGCAACTCACTAGAAATCACTAACATGCATGTGCAAGGGGTAAGCTGGATATTTGTCAAACAGTAACTGAGACTTGTATTCCCATTATTGAATACAATAAGTGTGGAGCACATCAAAAAAATGTTGTTCTCAAACTTTTCCTCTTGTAAAATCCTGGTGGTGCAAACGTGCTCCTTGTACGCATTACGTGGTTTGTATCTCTTGACAAAGACCAGCATATGCCCTTGCAGTAGGTACCATTGAATGGCCACAACTTGACTTGAGAGTAACTTTCCTGGATGACCCATACGCTGACGGTGATAGCCATTGATGCCCTTATTCCTCCCTAAAGCACTTAGGTCTCTCTGTAGAGATATTGTGAGCCTGAATGTTTGCCTCCAAAAAGCCAAGAGCGTCAGAAGCCTGATTTAAGTCAGATCAGAACTAAAGCCACAATCAGCCATCTGTTCTGACACGCACTGGATTTGCAAAAACTGAAGACCGAGGTGACATTGACATAAATGCATTCATTCAGACAGACCATATCTTTATCTTTGAGCCTCTGCGGGAAGTTTTAAAACAACTAGAACTTTTCAGTCTAGCATGGTCCCTCTATGGACATTTCACTCTAATGCAGGTAGAGACATTTTTGGGCCAAACAAAAATTTGTCACACATCAGGGGTCTTGATAAACATCTAAACATAACTTTTACCCTTCTTCAAGTATCGTATGGTAATCCATTACATCTGCCATCAGAAATAAAGGTGTATCCTGCATTGTGCTTGGCATGCTTGAATGAACAGCATTTAGCACAGCAAAGCTGAAAAAAATAACTTCAAAGAAGAAATCAAAGCCAGAAAAAATGGTTCTGGATGATAAGCTGTGTGTGTGTGTGTGTGTGTGTGTGTGTGTGTGTGTGTGTGTGTGTGTGTGTGTGTGTGTGTGTGAGAGAGAGAGAGAGAGAGAGAGAGAGAGAGAGAGAGAGAGAGAGAGAGAGAGCGAGAGAGAGAGAGAGAGAGAGAGAGAGAGAGAGAGAGAGAGAGAGAGAGAGAGAGAGAGAGAGAGAGAGAGAGAGAGAGAGAGAGAGAGAGAGAGAGAGAGAGAGATTTATTACAATGTGTGTTTGTACAGAGTTGTGGTTGTGTGTTTTATCTTTATGTGCGTCCTGTTCCTTTTTCAGCTCGTCAGCGAGTAGCTGGACCCTCCAGTCATTCAAAGACATTTTCTAGTACACAACCTCAGGAGGGCGGACTTTACTATGACCTCATTTAAGTAAAATAAGTTCACAGCAAGTCACTTTTACATTTAGTTTGTCAAAACTGCTCCTACAGGACTAAAACTGTAAGAAATGACTTTACATAATGTGAAGACAACAAAACACTAATTTATTATTTGTTGTCTTTTTTATGCTCTGATTAAGTTAGAAACAGTTAACTTAGGACATAGAGATAGATAGATAGATAGATAGATAGATAGATAGATAGATAGATAGATAGATAGATAGATAGATAGATAGATAGATGATAGATGATAGATAGATAGATAGATAGATAGATAGATAGATAGATAGATAGATAGATAGATAGATAGATAGATAGATAGATAGATAGATAGATAGATAGATAGATAGATAGATAGATAGATAGATAGATAGATAGATGTGTGTAGGTTGGCAACGTTCATGGCCATTAAGATGCTGTAAAATTTTGAGTCACGTAAAAATGTGACTCAACGTAATTCATGTGGCAGCCCCATCTAGTGGACAACTTTTGTTTCTGCGTGTACTTGTAGTTATCATCCATTTATTGTTATGGGGGTGAAATCCTCAATATATCGTGATATTGATTGTAGGCCATATCGCCCAGCCCTAATATAGATAGACAGACTTAATTATGTCAATTTGATCCTCCTACTGCAGCCAGATTTCTGTGAGACAAAATATATCAATATGGTGACTAGTTATCAAATCAGTAGCTATTAGTCTTAGAAGAGTGAGACCTCACTTTCAGTACACCACATTTGGCATTTCTTATAGTTAATTTTTGGTTAAAATATTAATTTTGAGATACATTTATTTTCAACTGTAGGTAAGCAAACACTGTCTCAAAAGGGGGTTGGAAGGGGAATGTTAGAGGAGCAGTAGTGCTTCAGCTTTTAGTCCTGAACCCTCAGTTAGTGTTAAGGTTTGGACTTTGTTAACTTTTGAAGTACTCATAAATGTGATTTTATTCCTATAAGTGAGAGCTGATCTACCTGATGTGGCATGAATGCCTTCTCTCATAATCACATTATGTGTTCTCCAGAACGTTTGCCCATTATCTATATTACGAACACCAGAAGACATTCAATCAGGCTGGTGGTAAAATAAGGTAAAAATAATAGGAAGAACAAAAAAGTAATAGAATAAGCATCCCTGCATGGGCAAAACAGCTCACAAAAGAAGATAAATGACGTCACATGCACCATCTCATGTTGCTGTGAAGCACTCTCAACTACCAACCACGTCAGATCCTTGCAACATTTGTTGAAAACGTTATGGTCATTGTTTTGTTGGCTAACGTTGATTGATTGTGCTGGTTTCCTTGAATAGGGTTCAAAAGTGAATGCCTTGTAGATGTCAGTCCAATGAAAACTCATGCAGTGATTCATCCTAAGAGTAAGATAAAAATCAAGAAAGGGACTGGACTTCGCTTGGTTCTTGAAGACATTTGATCTCCGAAGTCATCTTCTGTTCTGTTCATGAGTGAGGACTTTTGACCAAGTGAGCATGCTCTTCTTTTTTGGCCATCCACTTGTGTAACTGCTGCCTTATTTCACCATTACAGAGGTCACAACATTCCTTGCTGCTCTGAACTGTGGCTTTTGTTTGGTGCTTCATCAGTTATGATCACAGGTCTGAAATTCAGGGCTTATGTGATTTTAAAGGACATTCAGACTAATTAAGGCTCCGGACCCAACCCTTCAATTTCTGAAGAGTTTAAGTTTTTTTCACCTTCCTTAATGGTTCAGTGAATCTTCCCAACACTATAAACAAACCTTTGATACTCATGGAAAACTGAAAACAGCAAATGGTGTCACCGCAGAAATAGTGAAATCAAGTCAGGTTGCCTTTGGTCATCGATGAACAGATTGCACTTGTAACACTGGGGTAAGTGGAAGGTAGGTGGTGAGACTAACCTAAGGTTTGGTGTTCAGCACCGCCGCCACCTCAGAACCATCCCCTGACTCTCCTTTGTGTGCTGCCTGTCCAACCCCTGTCCCTGCAGAAACCACAGGATGAAGATGATGAGGAGGATGATGTGGAGCCAGGACTAACTGGGGATGAGAAGGAGGAAGAAGTGAAGGAGAAAGAAAAGCTTGGAAAGCTGCAGTACTCAATTGACTATGACTTCCAGGAAAATAAGGCAAGCAAATGCTATAGTTGGATTTTTGGTGTTTTCCCCTGGCCTGGGGTCAGTTAATTCACTATCCTCACAATAAAGTTCTGTATATTTTTTTTTTGGGTGCATAACTTTGCAGCTTACAGTGGGAATCCTACAAGCAGCCGATCTCCTCTCCATGGACAGCGGAGGCACTTCCGACCCTTATGTCAGGGTTTATGTTTTGCCTGACAAGAAGAAAAAGTTTGACACAAAGGTTCACAAGAAAACACTTAATCCTGTCTTCAACGAGACCTTCACCTTTAAGGTAATCTGAAACTGAACCGTGGTTTTCCTTCAATCTTTACTGATTAAATCATTGTGCAAATGAAGCCTTTCAAATTCAGTCCAAAGCTTACAAAAGCATCAGATATATTCAGAGTGTCAGACAATGGAGAGTGTGAATCACCATAAAGGAGAAAGCCACCTCCGTGCACCTTGTCTGCTGATGCAGCTTTGGTGAAATGAAAAAATGAAAAGCCTTACAAATCTGTCAGCCGAATGTGCTGAAACACAATATGGCTGCTAATCTAACTCCAAACATGATTTCTCAGATCTGGCAGATATTAGACATCATGTGTCATGAAATGAAAACAAAATCAAACTTATAGCACAAGTTTTAAAAAAAACATTTGATATTTACAACGTTCCTCTTACTGAGTTGCAAATGAGGAGCATGTTCAAGCTTCAGTACAATAATACAATTTGTGTATTTAATATTAAAAACAAAGCAAACAACTGCAGAGGCAGCTCTGTTGTAACCTAATTTATTTTATGGTTTATAATAAGTCTGATTGCTGTTCTCCAGATTCCATTCCAAGAGATGGGTGGGAAGACACTGGTGATGTCCGTCTTTGACTTTGATCGTTTCTCAAAACACGACATCATTGGAGAGATTAAGATACCCATGAACACCCTGGACCTGGCTAAGCCAATCGAAGAGTGGAGAGACCTTGACAGTGCAGATCAAGAAGAGGTAATGACTCCTCTTCCACTGCACTGCTAAAATAATCCTCATAAACCCAACAGATTATTGGTATCACATTATTTGTATTTGCAAATGAATACATGTACAAATACAGTGTTTCATAGATTAAATATTATCTGTGAAAATCCCCTACTATGACAGACAAAATAACACTGTCACTTTGTTTCATGAGCTAGGATTATGGTTCTGAAACTGTGGTACAAGTACCACTGAGGGTATCAGCTAATCCCTCTAGAAGTTCTCAGAAGAAACGCTGGTGCAGATATTTGAGGGAAATAGCTAATTGACTAAAAGAACTTCCGTGTAAACCCTAAAAACTGAGCGAACCAAACTGGTTTCAAAAGTAAACTGCTTGAAAAAATGCTGTACATAATATTTCAGAAGCCTCTTGCAGGCCTGAAATGGATGATTCAGTAACCAATAACTACTAGAAACACTGTATATTTTTTATGAGGAGCTTGTTTTCATTGTGTTGCACAGGAATATGAGAAACTAACTTTAATCAATGGAACTGCCTTCCAACAGCCACCTTCAAATGAAGGATTCTTTCTATTATTAAATCAGCATCACTTTATTTTTCAACCAATGAAAAGGCCAATTAGTTCGAGTTGTAAACAGACAAAGTTATTGCCTTGTTTTGTATATAGAGTATGTTCAATAAAAACTTGATTTAAAGTCTTGGTTTCTTTATTATCATTATTTCTGCAGATGACTCCTAACTTTCTGCTACATTTTCTCCTCCTCCTCCTCACAGCCAGAGAAGCTGGGAGACATTTGCATCTCCTTACGTTATGTCCCCACCGCTGGCAAACTCACCATCTGTATTCTGGAGGCGAAGAACTTGAAGAAAATGGATGTGGGTGGACTATCAGGTGGGCTCCTTTTTAAATGCAAAACCAAGCATCAGAGGTTGTTGTTATTGTTTTGACATCCAATCAGTTCTGGCAGAAAGACACCTACGTGCAGAGAGACTGCAGTCTGTGAAGGAGTGTGGATGGGAGGCCAGGCATTAGTTTGGTCCTCCTGTACTCACATGCAGGGCTCATCATGAAAACGTTATTCTATCTAGCCTCAACAACGGCCCCATCTGTTGGTTCATTATAGTACTGCAACCCAGATTTGTTAAAACACCCAAGTTATCTGACGTTCTTGGTTTTATTTTGCCTTCTTCTCCTTTCAGATCCCTACGTGAAAATTAACCTGCTGCAGAACGGAAAAAGACTGAAGAAAAAGAAGACGACGGTGAAGAAGAACACCTTGAACCCCTACTATAACGAGTCCTTCAGTTTTGAGATTCCTCTTGAGCAAATGCAGGTATGAAGATGATTCTCTGTTACATGAATGTTTTTTTGATCATTTCTAACATTTTTATAAACTTTACCACAAATTGGAAATTTAAATGCCTTTGTTTGACAAACACCACTGGATTTTGTTCCTAGACTTGTTCTTGTTTGATATTATGTGCCCGTTTTTATAGACTTGCTGATTGTTTTGAGCAGAATTCTCATCCCATTCGACTTTCTGCACACCAGCCCCATTCAGCACTACCAAACATCTTTGTCAATAGAATTATCACAACCTTCTGAACACTTAAACAGTCTGTTGAAGAGAAACTTTTTCCAGACCTGCATGTTTCGTTTGGTTATTAAAGGTCTGCAAATCTAAAGTTGACACTGTTGGCTGTTTAACAGGAACACACACAAATGTTTTCCTATATGTTGAACTAATTTCTGATGTTTTGCAGGACATCTCCAGTGAACCCTGCTTGTGAGATAAACTTAGGGTTGGCTTAGTAATTAGCCTAAACTGTTTATCGTGTTTACTTCCATATTAACATTTTATATAAAAAAATTTAAATCATCATTCAGATTCCTAAAGTGTGTTTCTGTAAGACAATTCAAAAGACCAAGTTAACTGAGAAACCTTTTTTTAATTTGTTTTTTTTTTTTCTTTAAATGTGTTCGCTCACTCTGGGGTTCACGTGAAATTAGTCTTCTACCCCTATTTCCTGTTTTAGCTAGCAATAGAAGATAGACAGGTAACCACTCAGATTAGAAACGTCAGTCAAGGTCAAGGACAATTTTATTTATAGAGTGCATTTACAGCAGCAAAGCTACACCCAAAACACTGTACAAGGTAAAATTAATCAAGGTACAACAAACCAATGATAAAACCCTAAAATAAGAAGAGCACACAACAGTCACAATTTATAATAACTAATGTTAAAAACTATTAAGATGCTCAAGTCAACCTGCGTTAAAAGCCAGATCAAAAAAATGTGTCAAGAAGGGATCTACATCACACTGAAGATTAGCATTCATGGATTCACCCATCTTGGCTCTTGCTGATTTAGCATCCAGGAGAGAGCAGAGCAGCTAAAACGGCTTCACCTTTTCTGAGACGTTTCATAAGGTTTAGTAAAATATTCATGGGGATATTTGACCATTCTTCCATTAATGCTTTTGAGGTCATTTGCTGGTGTTGGACAGGAGAGTCTGTCTTTGTTTCTCTAATTCATCCCAAAATAACGTCTATCAGGTTGAAGTTAAGACTCAGGCTAGTGAAGTTCCTCCACAATTTGTTCCATCATTCATGTCTTTATTGGAACATCAGAGTTTACTGATTTGTTGAGGTGTTGCAATATTTTGGGCAAAATAGTGCATCCTAATATGCACTATGGATTTTAAATAAAACAAACACTTCTAAGTTCAAAATTTGGTCATCCAGCTTTAGTTTTGTAAAACTCTTACTAAAGAGAATCTTTCCAGCATACTGAACCTACCTGCATTGATTTCTCCTTGTTCTAATAGAAAATCCAAGCTGTGATCACGGTGCTGGATTATGACAAGATCGGCAAGAATGATGCCATTGGGAAGATCTGGGTGGGAAGCAAGTCCACGGGGGCCGGGCTGAAACACTGGTCCGACATGCTGGCCAACCCCCGTCGCCCCATCGCCCAGTGGCATCCGCTTCAGCCAGAGGAGGAGGTGGATGCTGCCCTCGCCGCCCTGAATGCCAAGAAGTAATCTCCTAGTCCCTCCGCACCCACCTCCCATGCATTCCCATTGCTCCACACAAGTCCCACATATCAGAATATATTCCAGAAGAACACCCCATCTGCACCCCCATCTTCCTCTTTCGCATTTCAAAAGATCCATAGAAACTATCTGACATGAAAGGAAATGTAGTTACAATATGATGTTCTATTAATGTCACAGAGAAAAGAAGACAAGATACATGATGAATAGATAGTTAGGTTCTTTTAGATCTATTTTTCTATCGGAGTAGTGGTTCCATTAATCTAAAATCAGAGTAGGTCGCTGTTGTAGGAGCGCCAAATCTGTTGATGGAGGGGATAAAACATACATTCACTCACATTGTACTTCTCACCCTTTCCCTTTAGTGACACAGTTTGCTTAGAATAGCGCTTAATAATAAAATGCTTTATACTGCCATATTATAGAGAAATAACACAAGCAGGTCCATTCCGTAGGTGTTTTGTGCACCATGTCCCACACCTGCCAGTTATCATCCTATAGATGATTCTGTTAGTTTAAAGTACATTCCTAGACCTGGGTAGCAAAGTAGGGACAGGCACATATCCAGTTACCCACAAACACTGCCTTTTGATTGGTTAACCTTTCACCCATCATCTCAGGAAACCTGAGAGGAAACTGAAACTCCATGCCTTTTTTTTAAATGGGTTGTTGTTCAGAGCTCCCACTTAAAGAGTTGAAGTTGGATTATCAATGAACCAATGCTTATGGCTAGTGTTGGTTATATAAAGTAGTCCAAGTGGGTAAAAAGGATGACTGTGCATTTTTAATTGTGCAAAAAAAGACAAAAAGCCGCGTCTGTCATTTCAACAACAACAAGTAAATAAAGGGTTTAAAAATCAGAGCGGGAGCAACAGAGACTGATCCCATTCACCACTGGCATGATATTTACAAGGTGTTGATTACTGCCTACAGTCTACCGCATCCCCTTCCCAACGCCTCTGTTTCTGTATCTCATTTGTTCAGTGCTACTGTCATTAGTCATGGACCTGACACAAGGGTTTTACTTCAAAGGAATCCCTATAACCGTCTTACAGTCATAAAGGAGACAAGCCTTCCAAGTAACAAAATAAGCAATTTTCAACTACCAGGGACGCCTTCCGGTTAGAGGTGTTGTTCTCTTCATTTTCCCTTTTTTCTTTTACAATTTTGTTAAACTTCAAACATTTTTATTCCTTAAGCACCTTAAATTTTGATATCATTTGTAAGAAGTCAGAGCTTTAATTCCTTAGAAGGTTCTTTTTGTTGCTTTTGTTTCTGCTTACTGATCTCATCGTATGTGTGAGTGTTTAATTGTTCAGATATTACATTTCTCACTTGATTGCAGAAATACGGTCTATAAGTCACTGGTCCGTGTGTGTTTTATACACAGCTTACCAAACTGTTGATTATAATTGCACTACTGGTTACCGTTCTGTTTTTGTGCTATCGACACTGGTCTTTGATCTGTTTTTGTTCCTTTGTGATAAAATGTGGTGAAACTGAATCTCTCTGTGGCACACGCAGACAGCCCTTGTCTTCTAAACATGCAGCAAAAGAAGAACATTTGAGTTCAGTGCTGCCACATGCATGCGGTTCAGTACAGAGAGCTAAAGAATTCATTCTGTGAAATCAAAAGCAAATTAAAGATGCCAACTGAGCTGCTACACTTTCAATCAAATGACCAAATGACAGCTCCTAAAAACAGCAGTGTGGACACTTCATTTATTGAACATTTGAACCAAACACACATTTACTTGATCATAATTTCTGCTGAGCCGTTAGCCTGCTAATCTCCCATTTTTATAAGAAACACATTCTCAGCACAAAGGAGCGTGTTTCCAGAGCAGGTTGGACTCCACCACCACTTCTCCTTGTCTCTGATCCTGTCAGTGTTGTTCATTAGGTGTCTCTCATGGTGTAGTCACAGTGAGCAGGGTCTGCTTTCTGCTCTATGCAGATGATGTGGTTCTGTTAGTATTTTTAGGCCATGATCTCTGGCGTATCCTGGAGAGGATTACAGCTAAGTGAGTGTCAGCTCCTCCAAGTCTGAGACCATGGGTTCCACTGTAGATAGGTGGAATACACCCTCTAGGTTTGGGGGTGGTCTCTGCCCTAGGTAGAGGAGTTTAAGTACTCTGAAGTCTTCAACAGTAATGGTAGACTGATAGGATTAAGGCTGTAACAAGGGCATTGCTTCAGTATGTTTTGGTAAAAATGTGACTAAGCCAAAAGGTAATTTCTGGTTTGTCCGCATTCCAACTTCCACCTATAGTCATCAAAGATTTTGCTTACAAGTGGATTGACTGTTTCCTCCATAGAGTGGCCATGATTGCTCTTACACTTCTACCATGCCATGGCCAGAGAGCCTCTGCTCCTCACTGGAAGAATTGGTTGAGGCAGTTTGGGCATGTGAACACAATGCCCCCTGGTCATCTTTCTCAGGAGATTTTCCAGGTACGTCCCTCTGGGAGTACACTGGTGAAGGCTCTTGATTATGTAAGGTTTGGTAAATCCTTGCAGGACTGGAAGAAATCCTTGGGGCAGAACTGAAGCTTTTAAAAACCACCTTGGTAACCTCTTAGAAAAGGGATGTCTGGGATTCCCCCTAGAATGTTTACCTTAGATGGACAGTCTTTGTAGGAAAATAAAATGGATGGATGAACAGATTTATGTATAAAATTAAAAACCATTAGAATGCTGCTTAATTTACAACTGTGAGAGTTTTTCAAAACGTAATATTCCCTATTTCCTGTTTCCTTTATGGCTACAGTAACGTCAGTGGAATTCTTTGGCTCTTTGTATCTGCGAATGAAGATTTTATCAAAGAGAAATATCTGGTGATGGGCTTTGGTTTGCAGCAGAGTCCATCACTCTTGTTCAGTTAAAGGTGTGAAATGTGTTTGGATGCCAGTGTGCTTTCTTACTGGGTTAGCTATGAATGGCAAAATGAAAACAAACAAAAAAATCTGATTGAATGCATAGATGTTGAAAACTGCTACGTGACTGTGTGCAAGCATAAAACACTTTTTTTTGGTATCACCATAGATTTTTTTGAGGGGACATTTATGAATGTTTGTTCATGTGTTCCCATATTTTTGTTGGAAAGTGTAACATAGACCTTTGCATCAATCCTTTTTCTTCAAATTTACCTCAGTTAATGAAACAACACTAAAGAAAAGGCAACATGGAAGCAATGAAGCAACTCATCGGTGTGTAGTTTGGCCTGTATACATAGTTCATCCACATTGCATGTTTATACAAAATACTGTACATAAGAGCATGTTTTAGAGACAAAGCAAAAATATCTTGTGTATGTAAATTGGTGTCATTTTGCCATTTTAATAACACAACAAAAGAAAAAAAGATGCACTGTATATTTTCTAAATAGAGCAAAGTGTGTATTTATTTTCCATGAGGGTCATTGGAGAGAATGTCGTCCAGCTATTATAGTACTATTACTAATAACAAGAACCTTTTCACGCCTGAAATTCTTAAGCAAGTGTGTTGTCCAGTGCTGTGTGTGAGTTCATGTAGGAAGAAAAATGTAGCCGCATGCTTGCTATCCAGATTTCTTGTGCTCAGATTTCAGTTTTGGGTAAGCTTTTGTTGCCATTCACTTCTGTTCACCGGTATTTTCAAATGTTCATGTTTGATCTGTACTTTTTACCTTTTTATTTCTTTATTTTTGGTTTGAAAAGGGGATCTCCAAGTCTCTAGTACTGGATGCAGAGTCCACCAGGGGCGTGTCCAGATCTTTTAAAATGGGGTGGCCCAGGTGAGGCACAACTTTGTGCATGGGTGGCACCAATTGTTATGCTTTTTATTTATTTATTTATTTATTTTTACCCCTAAGCCTTTTGTGGACAATGAAAAACCTATTTAAAGGTAAATTAGTGTGTTGGCACCTGGGGTGGCCAATCAGATTCCATGGGTGGCATGTGCTACCCCAGGCCACTACCTGGACACGCCCCTGGAGTCCACTTAAATACTTATGTATAAAGAGGATTTATTATTTATTGAAGTTGTACAAAACTTATTTGTGACAAGAATAAAATGTGATGGACCTATTCTAAACTTTATATGTCCGTGGCCAAAATAAACACGGAATAATCACATTCCAATCCGACTTGGAATCCCCTCTTTTCCTTTTAAAGTAAAACGTTATTTAGCCTTTTTTATTTGACTGACCTGCAACACTTTATGACTGTCCCTCTTTTACTCTGTTTATTATACAGTAAATGTGCGTGTAAACAAAATAAATTAATAGGTAACACCTCCTTTTACAGTCCCCTAATTACTATGTACTTACATGGTAATTACATAGTAAGTTAAAGTGTATTTTTGTTACTGAGCTCTTAAACAGTTATTACCATGTAACTCAGGTTCAATTCTAGTTTTATTTTTATTAACCATTCCCAGTAAATACTACTTTACACAATAATTACACTTAATTACAATTATACACTTCAATTACACAATAATACACTTTAACTTACTATGTAATTACAATGTAAGTACTTAGTAATTAGGGGACTGTAAAATGTAGTGTCCCAATTAATAAGTTATAACTAAAAGCCATAAAACTCAAGCACTAACTCTTTAGAACTCAGCTGAACAGCTCGAGTTTATTTACAAGAAGGAAGAAAGAAAAATCTGACGTCTTCTGTTTTTTACCATGGTATATGTTTGTTCTACATCCCTTTAGAGGTCTTTGTTCATCAAGAGGGTAAAACCAATCTGCTGAATGTGAATGCAGCTGCGACTTCAGCAGAGGGAGTGTTCGTTTTCTACTTTCAGAACTGCTGATGTACTTGTTTCATCCAGGTAGCTGATTTTACTGTGTTGTGTTCACTAATCTATGTCCTGTTTAGTTGGTATAGATAATAGATGTTACCGCATTAAGGTTTAACTGATGATCCTAAAATATATCTATGAGAGTATGGTCTGTTTTAGGGCAGAGTGCAATTTATGAACCAAACTGGGTCGTGCTTGTAGTTTTTCTTCTTCCCGTTTTGCAGGAGAACATATTCGTACAATCAAAAATACTCGATGGATGGTTGGAGGTTTGTTAGGATGGCTTCTGTTGTTGTTTTAATCAAAAGTTCAAACCACAATGATTAAAATGAAGCAAAAGAACCTTGAACCCAGGTTTATAGCCTGAATCCTTCTCATAGTACTATGCATACGTTTATGATTTAGACTTTGGCAGACTCACAGCTGCAGTGTTAATAATAAAACTTGCTCTCTTGCCAAGAGGTATTTATGATCACTACATACAGAAATGAAAACAAATATATATAAATAAAGTTGGCACTCACCATCTTGGCTGGTGACGGGGAAGGTGGGAGAGCAGAGCGTGTCTCGGCTAAAAGAAGCTAACCATTAGCGACTGCTACATCCCAACATGACACATCTCCTGGGAGTTTGAAATAAACATCAACATTTTGTAGTTTTCTCGGTTGTGGCTAAATCCCAAACATTAAACAATAACTAGAGTTGGTGCCAAAACAAACTAACTGACCCCTAGTGGCTGGCTGCAATATAACGTTTAGGTCCAGCCCCCAACATTTGAATGAGTGGGACAGTGACTTTATTTAAAATGTAAAGTTAAATCATAGAAAAGTTTCATTTTATCCCTATTATTGTGTGTAGGTGGGTGGGCGGGACCTTCAGGTACATAGTAGTTTTTTAATCACGTTGTATATTAGCAGCGAGCTGTACTTTTTCAACAGAGCACTTACCTTTACTGTACTTGTGCTGTTGCAATACTGCAATTTCCCCACTGAGGGACTAATAAAGGTATTCTTATTCTTATTCTTAACCACACTAAAATAAGTCGGGTCTTGTTTAGCTCCTGGTTAGAAAGCAAGATGCAGAGTTGTGTGCTTTTTTTATTTTCTAAGAGTCAAAACTGTTTTGTCACCTCAGTCAGAGTTTTCATGAAGTAAACTGTTCTGGCAACATCCTCAGTGTGTTGCATGAAGCTGCACATTGTCTGATGCAATATAGCAATGTCCCGCTGATGCTATTGACTGTGACCAAATGATGCACTGAGAGCAGTTTAAATGCAGTTCCAGTCATTATATAAAAATACTGCCACCACCTGATTACAGCTGCCAGCGTTCATCACCTCTGTTTGGTTCTGTAAAGCCAAGATAAAAATTCATACAGAGTACAGAATGCACCTGATAGCAATGAGGCTAATGTGATTACAGGTGAACTTATAGCACATGTAAAGGTATTATGGGTTTCCTTTAACTGATCAGGTTTGCCACAGTCAACCATTTCCGGAAGTTCAGTGGGGGGACAGAGATTAGGAGGTGTGTCACCTTGTCAAATTATGGGCTTTTCTGCAGATATGAAACAAAAATGTAGTAATGGACAATAAAACTTACAGTACAGTGCATGTGTGGGACACATAACTCATTCATAAACATACATTAATTTGTGGACACGTATTATTCTAAAAACAGTTATGGGTTATGTATGTCTATATGTCTGTTTTATAGCTGCCTGTAGATGTATGATACCTTATGCACAAAACGCATCTGAAGAGGTGCTGTTCAGCTGTGCACCAGTCATGCAGATGTAGTGTATTTTGTTTTATTTTGAACAAACGCAGAGATTTAAAAAGGGAAACCATGCAAAGTTCAATCCATTATCCATCTTGCCAAAATGTGTTGCTGAGTCTCTCAGCAGACCGACGTTGCTTTGAAACATGCTTTCTTGTGTCTTCTGTATGTCTTCTTTTTTGCATAGGTGTAATACTTCAGCTATTTTGATTATTCATTTTTATGAAGGATATTTGTGATGAAGAAGGTGAGACTGTGTTTGAGGCAATGCAAGAGGGTTTTTTGTGTAGCATTTTCAGTCTGTTGGCATCCTTGTCTTAAGTGTAACCAGCTGCCAGTGTCATTAAGAGGAATCTGAATCGGCTTTAGTGGAGCATAAAGAATGCTGGCCTTCATGTTTACCACACGGACAAAACGTATACTGCCGAACATGGAGGACCGTAACCCAAACACCCCTCTCGAGTGCTCAGCCCTCCCTTGCTCATCCCCAATGCAGCTGTATTTTCTTTTCCTTCTATCCCTGCTTCACTTCTTTTTCTTCATCCTCTCCCAAACCATCAGAGGACAGTCAGGTTGTGTCCCCTAGCTGTTTCTTTGTGTCTAGTGTCGTGGTGCGCGTGTTCATGTCAGTACTTGTGCCTACTGTGGATCGCATGCTTTAGCCTTTGACTGGACACAAACGTTGCTCACAAACTCCTCTTGACCCTTACATGGACATACATTGGGGCTCCTTATTGAAGTTATCAAGGGAACCAAACAACTTATTACAAATTTATCATAAGTGTTACCAGTTCTGTAAAAACAAATAGGAAATAAAGGCCTTTTAATAACCACGAGTCGTTTGTGTTTGATATGCACGGAAATGTTTTATTGATTAAAGTGAATATTATGAATGTGGGTTGTTAGGTGGCTGAACATGAACACTGGAACAATCCACATCCAGCTTGAAAGAGCAAAACATGTTGGGAATGTTTGTTTCTCAATCTTTAAGAAATCACATAACTTTAAAGAGTTTTCTCGCTGCTCCTGATCTGCTCCAATGACTCATTTACTGTTCAGGATTTTCTTCATTTAGCTTCATGCCTGAGCATGATGCCCACCATACTATGGGAAAGTTCAAACAACCATTCTACCTTCTAAGACAATTCATACCAGTTGAGTACTTAATGGTTACCAGTTTGCACTAATTTGCTTCCTGTCTCACAGTTAAGACATCATTCAGCTCAGAACAGAGTTTCAGGTGATTAACTCATGAACTGCCATTGATGACTAGAGCCGTCTTTTTAAATCCAACCGTTCACTGCCCACACATATTTTTACTGTGTGAGCGTCGGAACGAGCCCCTGTAACGCGAGAACAAACATCTCAGCTCTAAAGCCGATCTTCTTCCACATATGTCACATGTCACATGATCAGGAAGCAGAAAATCCATGTGTTACGAGATCGTTTTGAGCCACTACTGTAAAAAAAAGTGAGACGTGAACCGGAAAAGCTTCTGCCGATCACCATTTGACAACGAATTATGAAAGAACAGATAATGCCTGAAACACGCAGATTCTTCCTTATGTAAGAGGTGAGTCTACTTTTTGTTTTAGTAGTTTTGGCATTGACATCATCATAGAGCGCAACATTCTGTGACTCTTAAAAACAGCGAAACGCTGGCCGCAAAGGGCTTTATTGATCAGGAAATGGCTGGCAGTTAATGAGTCAAAATCCAAAACCTAATCACACTTGTGATGCATGATGAACCTGTTCTCATTTACAATTATAATTGGCCTGGGGATGAACTGACCTAGAGAAATGTTAGACATTTTTGAGATTAGAAATGTGTTAAGTGGTTCACCCAAACACTTATCAAACCATACTTTCCCATCAGTTTTAAAGAACGTAAAGAATGCCAGCCATAGATTCTTGTTTAAGTTGGGCCTGCTGCAGATTTCTGCTGCAAACAAACATCATATTTAATAGAAATAACCATGTAAAGTGAAATTTACAATGATGACCTAACCCTATTAGTATTACTATTATGAACTGCTATGACATGTTTAAGATTGCAGCATTAAACTTCTTACTGGCCCTACTGTGGCTCGCTGTCAGCTTTCCCACAATTAAAGATGCTCAAGGAGCTTTTCAGTTTACTTTTTTACCAAACATGTGGAAGGATCTGAACCACCCTTTGACGTAACACTGGAAACACATGCACAAGTACATTTTGGGGCATTTTGGTCAACTCAACAGTAAAAAAGTGCAAAACGTGCAAAAAAGCCAAAACATCTTTAATCAGGAGACTGAGGTCTGCTTCACTCCAGGAGTTGAGTGTTTGGTTATACGTGTGCAAAGTCATTTTGTGTTTTCGCTCACAGGTGGACAGATTTAATTTTTACATATGTGATTAGCAACATTTGATCTGACTTTAGTTTTCATTATTTCATTAGAGGATCGCCTTTAGGATAACCGAAACAAAAACAAATGTTTGTTAAATAAATAAATATATATCGCTTTCTCTTTTTATTTACATAAGCTCATGGGTTGTCTTCAGGTCAGACTTAATGTGATACTGTATATACATTTTAGGAGAGCCATCACGTTCACACTCTTGGCTCTGACGGAAACCTTTTAGTTGACAAATTAAAACTGAAGGCTTAGTGTGTGCGTTGTTTAACTCTGGGCCAAAACACAGGGAACTACAAGCTCCACACTTTTTAGTGTACTACATAATAACCTATAGAGCCCTGTAGAAGAACCAACCTAGAGCGGTTTACGTGACTCGGAGTGATTAAAACCCAGTTTCAGAGGCGCAGGACTGTGGGAAGCTGACACAACTCAAAGAAAAACTCTCTAAAGCGTGTTTTACTTCTAACTTTACCCAAAGTATGTCTGACAGAAATTGGAAGTTTTTAAAAAGTGTTTCATACGTTCACCCACAGCAAATTAAAAAAACAAAAAAAAAAAAAAAAAACTATGAGGTGCTAAATGTGGTGACTAACTTGTGTGGATGTGGTGGGTTACTACTATCAGGTACTGTCATGCAAACACCTTCTGGATCATCATTCTAATAGAACACCTGGTCCATATGGACATGTGAACAAAATAGTTTAAAGAAAATGAAATCAAGATGATCAAACTGTACAGCCCAGCCATGACAAGTGCTGAACGTGATTATTTTTGGATCTTTGGAACATTCACCAGTAATCATTAGAATCAGTTCAAACAGACTGGAAGAACAACCTGGAATCTTGTGGACGGATAAAATGCTGTAACAGAGTTGGAGAATCCACAAACACACACGAGGAGTTTCAGACATCTTTTCACTTGGACAGCTTGCTGATGACTCGGATGAGAGCCCCGTTTTCATCCTTTAGCCTCTGGTTGTCTGACTTGAGCTCTGTTAAACCCTACAAAGTAAAAAAATAAATAAAATAAGGAATGTTAGTAAAATATTCTTGTGACGTTGTTCAGTACCGTCAGTGTATTTTCCAATATTAATTCTGATGAGGATGCCATGTCCTCTATCACCACTAGGGCCTAATCCCAAAACTCGCACTTCCACCCTTGCGTACTTCAATTGCACGTTCCAGTCCAGTGGTGCACGTGCATAGGATGTCCCGATCCTCAAGTGTGTAAGTCGACCACGCCCCTTTTGCAGCCTTGATCTACCCAGTCTGCATCGAAGCAGACTGGGGCGAAGGATATTACACATAATCAATTGCTGCATGGGAATTTTGAGAAGGTGGAACAAAGGCTCAAGTGCATTTTCTGAAAAAATGTATTTTCAAACAAAAGTTCATTTTAAGACAACACAGCAATAAATGTAAATATTGTCAATTGTTTGTTTGGACGATGCTCTCTGAATTAATCACAACAAACCGCGTCACCCCACCGAGGACAGGCCGGTGGATCTGCTGCTGTTACGAGAGCCCTGATTAGAGTTGCTTCAGTCTTACCGGCGCCGCTCTTAAGAGCGCCGTTGGCGGCGTGGCATCTGTCCACATATCACTCATCAATTTTTGTCTTGCCTTTTGATTGCAGTGTTGCAATCTGACTGGAGATCTTAGCCTCAAACCCCACAACATTATAAAGATTTCTAAAAAAATAAAAGTAGCACAAACAGTGTCTGCATCTGGGCATGCGTCGTAGTTGATGATGCAACAGTCACTGACCCATTTCGGCATCTGTTAGCACACTTGTGTAATACACACTTGAACCTGCACACTTCCTCTGAGTGCACTCGGATGTTAAAGATGTTCAAGGAGCAAGGCACAGTGCGAGTATTGGAATTGGGTCAAAGAATGAAATGTTTCTGCCATGATGACATGCTTTCTGGTGGCTGATCATGCAGTGACAGATATGCTTTACAGAGTGAAGAGTGATGAGTAATGAAGCCCGACAAAAAAAAAACCAAGAGAAGGTCAGGTTTCTAAATCTGGGCCATTTCTCTCATGAGCAGCAAGGGCTGAAAATAACCATCCTCTCTATCAAAGTGTTTCCCCTCCACCGTTAATGCAACCTGCCATGGATGCATGCACGCCTGTGGACCTTTACTCTCTAGTTTGCTTTATTTCTCTCTATGCTAATTTTATCCCATCAGTACAACACACTACTGGAGATATGGTTAAATGAATGACTTTAGTCTGCAGGATGAAGATGCTGACATGGTCCACTTAGAGTGTTTAAGACCGACTGCACACCGGAAGCATCAGCGGTGTTGAACGGTTTACTCACGACAATCACTGCACTTGAGTGCGCACCGGGATAGTCTCAGCAGCAAAGCTGCTTCACTGCCGGGCTCTCGCTCGACTCACGAGATCACACAACCACTCGAGACTTCAAAAGGTTACGGTTTGTCTATGCAATCCGCCATTGAACCAAAAAGAAGGAAATCGCTGTTTGATGTCATATGATGTTGTTCCTCACCATGAAAACAATCCGCTGCACTTCTGGAACAATGCTGTAATAAGCTGTTACGTCACACGTAAGCTTCATATCAATGACACTGCATCACTGCTCTACCTTTATTTAGAAAATTACCAGGGATTTTACACTAAAGCCATGTGTGATTTCCTGTCTAACCCTGTTAACTGCAGTAATTGACGCATCCCAGAAGCAGCTCACCAAAATAAATAAATAAATAAATAAAAAATAACCCAACCCTATCTTTAGCAACGCATCTGAAAATTGCTGTGTCACGGCTGGTTTGTTCCACTCCATAGACTATAATGGATTCTAATTGAAGCAGTGATGTTTCACTGCCGCTCCCCACCGACTGATGCTTCCCGTAGGTGTACCTCAGATTAACTAAGAGGTCAGAAAAAGTATGATAGCAAGGTTTCTTCTTTGCAAAAATATATTTTACAAGTAAGATGCAAACTGCCCTTTGATAGTCATGCAGTGGCCCTGAATTCCTCTTCATTTTGTCTTTTATAAATAAACCATGTTCAAACATTGCTCATAATCCTTGTAAACCCACAGAGGGATTACAGAGCAAAGACAGGGCTGTAGACATGCATGTTATCCACACTGAAGCTTGTTCAGACTGATAATGTCTGCCTGTCAAACATGCATCACCTCAGAAGCAGATTGTCGCTTTACACAAACTAATCAGTACCCATGGTGTCAGTGAGTGAGTGTCTAAGGGGAACATTTAAATTACACCTGTCTAATGTTATTGATTAACCAACACACACACGTGATTGTACCCATAAAAATATGTGCATGTTAAACTGGAACTATTAAGTAAAATAATACAATGATAATGTAAATTCATATCTGCAGGATAGAGTAGTCATTATATTAAATATTTCAAATAGTTTGATGCGTTTGTGGGGTCTATAGGATAACGTGTTGGGTACCTTGTTTGGTCTAGTTTTATTTCCTAGAGTATGACTGATTTAAATGTACAAAGTGTGTTTAACGGACACTTTTCTTATTGGATTGGGCCTTTTGGGCTGTGGCATGCCCTAAACACCAACAAAAAACAATCAGCTTTATCCATCAGTGACTAACGTTTGGCTGTCAGCATAATTTGAAGTAGCCACTGATGGATGATACTTAAAGGTTATTGTTGTTAAGTGACTCATCAGGTCAGAGCACCAGCTCCTTATTAAAGGAGATAAATCAATGCTTCCAAACCTATTAAAGACCATATTTTTACCTAATGGACTCATCAGGATCTACACATACTCGACATCTTCTGAAGCGTGTACATTGGTCTAGTCTCAGTTTTATGGGACTTTTATTTTATGATCTGCCCATTGTTTTTCCAGAAAATGGGAAAAAATGATTGAAATCTTGATCATTAAAGAATTGTTGGCTCTGAGAAGTTTCCTCATATTGTAACTAAAGTTCACAACAACGATCTGCCACCTGAGACATTTACCTGCTTGTTGTGTAGCTTCTAGATTTCTGTTAATATATTTCTGACTGTGTTATACAACCCAATAAAGTTCAAAGGTCATGAGTACATTTATTCACCGAGATAAAATCAGTAGTTTTTACATCTCAAATAGTGAACAAGTATTTAAATCTGGAGGCTAAAAGGGTAAAACTGAAGAGATTTGAAGGTGTTTAATGTTGTCAAGTCTTTGATTTTGGTCCAGATGACATATGGAAATGTAACCATGGCAGCCATGCTATAAAATGCAGCTTGACTATGACATTAGGATTCCTGCAAACTGTTCTGAGAGCAGCAGAGTTGATACTGGCTACTAGAAAGGAGACAGGGTTAAAAAACCAAAAGCAAAAGGAGGACGCGCCACACTGAAGAGGAGTGACCTGCCTGAGAGGAAGACAGCAGAGAAGGCGGAGAAAAGCTGTGAATGCACCAGAAGGAAAGAGGAGTAATGTGTCTGAAGGAAAAAGGAGAGCAGGGTAGGAAATTAGGCCAGATGATCCCGAGGATCAGAGGTCCTCTGTCTCCGGCATGGAGGCCGTCTCAGAGAGGCGGGCGAGGACGCGAAGCATGGCTCTGTTCTCAGCCAGGAGGCACTCGTTGAACTTCCTCAGGGCCTGGACCTGAACCAGAGCAGGGAAAGCCTGCGTACAGGAGGAGAGAGATACAGAGTGGTGGAGGGGTAGACAGACGAAGCAGGCAGGGAGGCAGGCTGCTTGCAAAGAAACTTCTACAGAGTCTGTTTCAATTTCCACTTCTACAGAGGACATGAGAAACACAGCTGCAGGATTTAGCTGAAAAACTCACAGAGATAGTTTAAAAAGGGAAACCAAGAAGCAAGCAAGGAGGATTATGAGTTCAGGTCAGGTTTGTGTCCTCTATAATAAGGATTTCTGTAGGGACTCACTAAAATGGTGTTGGATATTTACCAAATCTGTCTGGTGTCAGATCCTGGTCAAGTATCAATCACCCTCCCCCCTTTTATTTATTTATTTATTTATTTGTTTATTTATTTATTTTACCGTGTCCTGACTGGCTATGAAGCAAACAGAATTGATGTCTGAATGCTGGTAACAAGCCTTACAGATTTACTCTCAGGTGGAACATCAAAGTGTCTGCTTTTAATGTCACGCCTGATACATAAAACTTTATTGTTATTGTTTTTGAATGCTTTGTAATTCTGACACACACACACACACACACACACACACACACACACACACACACACACACACACACACACACACACACACACACACACACACACACACACACACACACACACACACACACACACACACACACACACACACACACACACACACACACACACACACACACACACACACACACACACACACACACACCTAAGCTTTGGTCCCCTTTAAAAAACTGTTTCTATCTGATGTGATCCTGATATGAGAACACAGGAGCGGTGTTTCAGACCTCCCAGAAACACGGTGGACAAAGACGTGTAAATAAGGCCTCCAGCACAGACCACAGTCACAAAGAGTTATTTGAAACAGTCTGGATTTAGAGCCCAACTGCTCATGCATATAATGTTCTCTGGGCACCAGAACAGAACAGCCGTTTCTGGAAAGATGCCCTTGGCAACAGTGAAGTAAAAGTCAGAGTAAGGCAAGAATGCATAATGACCAGCACCTCTTATTAACCTTCTTTTTCATGCTGAGATATTTGTTAATGAAATAATTCTGAAAAGATTTTCATTCGATGATTTCTCATAGAGTTCAGTAAAACGCCAAGAATAATTAAGCTCAAAGAAAAGAAACAAGGAGAGGATGTGCAAACCCGAACGGCTCCATCTAAACTAGGAGTGAACAGAAGATGAGGGCATGCTGGTGATTGTGTCAACAGACAAGGAGAGTGACCGCGACAGGGATTTTGGTGCATGACGTCAAACAATATCAGAATATTTATCCTGTAGGATTACTACGGTTATGTGGTGCTTAGAATAAATGAGAACATCCCCTTTTTAATGCCTTAATGGACAATAATAGTATATAATAAATAATCTTGTAATTATGATTACATCTTTTGAGACAGATGTGTTGGGATGAACTCATTTATGTTAAACACTATAGCTGTTTGCAGACGTCCACCTATGAGGGTCAAATGCTACATTTCAGGACTTCTGACGAACAGCTCCTCCTTCTGTTGCAGCTTCCTCAGAGTGAGTGAGTGATTTTTGACAGAGGTGTAAGCCTGAGGTGCCTCACAGTTAGAGGTAATAGTTGTGTGGAACCCTCTCAATGTGAGATATGCATTTTTTGACAGAATATTGAACCCACGCGTGTAAACATGCCCCAGTTCTTGTGAGGTGACAGGCATACTTCAGTAACTCCACTGCATCACGTCAACCAACTCACCGTCCCTCCCCCTTCCTCCCCAGAACAGCACGTTCTCAGGGCTGGTACCCACAGCGGAACCGCAGCGGGGCATCCTGCTGGGGGATCCGGGACAAATAGTGGGGTCAAACATAGAGTGTGCTGCAGTGTCCTCTCCTACAATGCTTTCTAATCTGGATGCCGTTTAGACATTCTTTGATAAATTACGCGGATCTCTGCGACTGCTTCCTGCATGCAGAGCAGCACAGGAATGTCTCACAGAAGCAGGTCTCTTGCTCTTGGTTGGGTTTTGGTATTCAGATGGAACTAGGTCACAATGTCCGCCCCAACACTGGAACAAGTGGAGCAGCAGGCTCCTCCTCAGTCTGCCAGGAAGTGGACCGGCAGAAAACACTGTGGGTAATGAGCCTGAAGCGTTAACCTTCCCTCCCCTTGACTCCGACACCCACCTGCCTGACGACAGATCAGCAGTGGGCTAAATGTGTGCTCTGCTTCAACTCAAGTTGGCAGGGCTTTAAGAACTGTTAGGTAGGCTTTTATTTAGACATATCAGTGCTTGAGTTTGAGACTCGACGAATGCCATCAATTCCCCGGGTGGAGGCACACAATTGTTTCATTAGAGACTGACCTTTATTTCCTCTTCCATGTCTGACACTCTTTTCTCAAGGGCTTGCTTTTCCTGTAAATAAAGAGGAAATAAAATAAACAGGAAGAAAATAAAAACTGCCACAAAGAGACAAAACTTCCATTGAGATGGATTGGATAACATACTAGAGAGGACAAACACTCACTCTTTTCTCTGTTTCAAGGACTGTAGATCTTTCGGATATCCTGTCCTGCCTCTGGAGGAGACAGCAGTGATGTTACAACATCTATTCAGAATATGATTGGACTTTGCTAGTGAAGATTCTCAGTCATCCAGGTCATGGTAATTCAAAGAGTTCAAATGAATTCATCGCAACTTCTTATTGATGATGTTTTGTTTCTCATCCAAGGTCAAGCTTATGAACAGTAGCCTCCCATATTCCAGTCAGAACTGACAAAGCCCCTCAGATGAAAAGCAAAACGTCTTCCAGAAACCAAAGAAGTCCATTTGCCTTCATTCGTACCTCTTTGGATTATTTGACTTTGTAAAAAAAATAACAATATAGAAAAGCACTGGCAGCCTTGTGTTCTCGTTTTTGGTCCCAATAGAAGAATCTGGTCTTGGTACCTGAGTGACTTTCTCCAGCTGAGATCGAATTCTGACCAATTCTTGTTTGCTGTCCTGCAGTCTGGATTTCAGCTTCTCATTGTCCTGCAAAGCTTCTGTGTACATCTACAGATGGAGATGTGAAAAGTTCTACTTTAGGTGTTGCCTTCACGAGTTTCACAAACCCTGTACACCAGCCTGGAGGGCCGGTATCCAGCACGTTTCTGTTTTAACTCTGCTTCAACACACCTGATTTCAATCAGCAGGTGATTAACAGGCAACTGCAGAGCCTGATGAGCTGCTGCACAGGTGATTCAATCACTTAATAAAGTGTGTTGGAGCAGAGAAACCACCAAACGTGCTGGATACCGACCCTCAAGGCCCAGATTTGAATAGCCCTGCTGTACACCATCAGATGTGTAGATGTCAAACTCTTGAGAGCCCGGTACTATTTGGAGAGTATTTTAATTCCGACTTTTTGAATCGTTTCGACCTCAGAAACATTAAACATAAAAAAAAATGTAAAAACTATTTTTTTGTTTCAGTTCAGATAAAATGAAGAAATAAAACATTCAAAAGTTAAATAATTATTTAAAAGCTCAATGACAGCAAGCCTCTGCAATTCTGCTTATTTATTGCACCAAATCACAACACAAGTTTTCTGAAGGCACAAAGCAACTGAGCCTACCTTTTAGTGCTCTGACTTTAGTTGATTATTGCAAATTATAAGTTTCCTACCTAAAGAAACTCGGCTGATTATATAGTCACTAACTTGCAGTCTTCATTCTAGTTTCAGTGACTTTACAGTGATCCCTCATATAGGCAAGCATGAATTACAAGTCTAAGTTGAATTGGCTAAACAACATTTATTTATTTATTTATTTATTTATTTATTTATTTATTTATTTCCCGTGTCCTGTCTAGCTGTGAAGCAAACAGAATTAATGTCTGATTGCTGGTGACAAGCCTTACAGATTTACTCTCAGGTGGAGCATCATAGTTTCTGCTTTTAATGTCATGCCTGAAACTTAAAACTTTATTGTTAATGTTTTGTGAATGCTTGTAATTCCGACTGGACACGGAGACAGAGGTGAAAGAGAAAGGAAGAAACAAAAGGAAGGGGGTTCACAAAATAAACAATCAATGATGAACAAGAGTTTGTTTTTCTCCTTCTGCAGGTCTAGAAGCAAACAAAAAAAGGGACACACAACAATACAACAAGAGCGAGCTATCACTGTGTCAACCTGATGAGGAAATATAAAACTAACATTGCTTTACTGAACAGTCATGATAAAAAATCACAGTGCATTAAGTGCCAACCACAGCCTTAAGACATGTGTTTAACATGCCCAAGTCCATACTTATGAGAGCACCATGTGAGCACCTGTGTGTGTACCCGCGCTTGTTTATGTAAGGTTTCTCTATAGGAGCATTCAATAGAGAGTGTGACGGGCCACAGATCTGCCCCAGAGTGGAGGGACCCCAGGGAGAATGCAACCAGAAAAGCCCCTGCCCCCTTCAAGAGGTGCAGAGGATTGCCCCGGGGGGCCACAACCAGCAGCCAGCAGAGTCGCGGGACATATCAGCGGCAAGCCCACAGGCCCGCCTGCAGCCCCCCACCTCCCAGCTGGCCGAGCCCAGGACCCAGCAACCCGGGATTCAGGGGCGACCACCCCCGCCGGGGACCCAGCAGAGCCCAGGGACCCAGATCCCACCAGGCAGCCACCGGGATTAATCAGGCAGACGCCAAAAATCTTAAACCCCCTGACCCGGGAGCCACGAACACTCAGGCTGGATAGTGGTGCAGTTGTTAGCACGGTTGCCTGGCAGCAAGAAGGTTGCAGGTTCGAAACTCGGCTGTGGCCTTTCTGCGTGGAGTTGCATGTTCTCCTCATGCATGTGTGGGTTTCCTCCGGGTTCTCCGGTTTCCCCTACAGATCACAACATGCCCTACAAGTTAAAAATATTGTACGTCGCTTTGGATAAAATCGTCTGCCAAATAAATATACATAAACATAAGGCACGGCACTCCACATCAGGTGTGGCAGGGGGAGGGGAGACGAAGATGTATAGCATCAAAAGAAGTCCCAGGAGAAGGGTGGAGTCAAAGGCCCCACCTGACATATACAGTCATACACAGACACAGTCACACACTCCCTCCCTCATGCTCACACATACACATACAACCAAAAACTTACAAAAATGCATGCCGGGCACCCACTCATGCTCCCCATACACACCCTATTCACTCTGGTCCCGTTACTGCTGCACATGGGGTATGGCCATTACTGGTTCCCAGAGTTCAACCCTTTCTGCTGAGGTGCTGATGAGCAGGCTTCCCCGCCCAATGCTAAGCAAAGCAACCCACCACCCCAGACCCAAACCAGACTGCCAGATCTCCCTCCTAGCCTCCAGCCCCGGGAAGCCAAGCGACAACAGAGGTGTTCTAAGACCCCTAGTCTCCCTCTGCCTGTTCCAATATAGTGTTAGTGCGTGTTGATGAGGTGTATTCCATGGCTGTGGTGAGTGGGCAGTGCGGGCATCGTCTGGCCTATGCCAGCTGATGCCACCACACCACTCCACTCTCACCCACAGCCCTTAGTGTCTAAGTGCAGTTTAAAATTGGAAGTGGGCACTGGCACTCGGGAGGAGGCTGAAAAATCCCACTGCCAAATGCCGTTGAATGTGCTCACTCCCAAGGCCCTAAGTGTGTGTTTGCGTGGAATGTCATTGGTAGAATTGTTTTAGGTGCAAATAAAATTGGGGGCAGGTTGCCGCAGGAATGCGGAAATGGGGTCCATACCCACACCCCCTGACTTGTCCACCCCCCAAGGTCCTATGTGCATGATTTTGTGATGATGTTAGGGAGCTGGAGGATAAAAATGTGTGGGGATGGGGAGGAATGGCTGGTTGGGCTTAAGCCCTCCAGGGAGCCAGCTCCCCCACTGGTCCCAATAGGCACCTCTGTTGCCAAAATGCCACCCAGTGCATGGAGACCCCAGCCCATCTTGCCAGGGCCCCAAGCAGCAGCAATACAGAGCCTCGCAGAGTCCGAGGGCACAACCCAGCCCCACCCCAGCAGAATATCTACTCCCATCACTGCATTTGCACAACTTCCAGAATGTATAAGACATAGGACTTCCAGGTAAGGTTGGGTCCTCCCCCTCCTGGACATCCCCCTCTCCTGTGATGGGAACAAAATTTTTATTTATTGTTGACTCTTCTGTGCTCCTGAAACAAAAGGATGATGAAGTTCATCAAAAACAGCTGGTTTTCACTTGTTAAAAACTTTTTGTTTGTGTACCTGCAGAAGGAGGATGTTTCTGAATTTCAGGAAAGAACCGCCTATTCCATGTTTGAAAAAATGCACACTTTGTTTACAAGTAGCTGCCAACCTTGCAGCACTTCTTCTAGCAGTAATATTACATTAATTTCTCCAAATAGCATGCCGAACTTCAGCTTACCTGTCGAGCAGAAAAACGGCGACAGAGGCGTCTGTGGGAAGCCCAACCTTCGCTTTCAGTGCACGCCATTGTTAAAAATAGTCTCCTAAAAATTGGTATTATTCGTCACTTTAGAGGCCATTCTCTTCTTATCATAGACTTCAAAGACTTTCAGCCACTTTCAAAGAAACCCGGTGAGAACGGCAATGTAGAATTAATGAATGCGTATCGCTCTACACACAAACAGATTGCACAGGAAGTGAAAACTACCCCAGGAACAAGCACAGATGACAACGGCCTTGCATGAAAGCTTCACCAAAATGATTAACAGTTATGCAGACCAATGATTCAGATGATCCACCCAGAAGAAAAAAGATCCTCCGCTACACCTTTAAATGTCACATCACCCATATTCTGCTGAGGCCGAAATTGCACTTAGACCTACAGTTGTTGGAGTCCCTTTAGTCAGATTTGATGCAAACACTTTATTTAGATAATAAAAATTTGATTTTATATATTTAATAACTCATAAATCTGCTTTTATTTCTTCCAATGCAAAAACTCAGCGCAGATTTAAAATCTCCGAGTAGCCATCTGACTCTAGTCAGGAGTTCCTACCTTTTTATAGTCTTTGGCAGTAGATTCCTGCTCCTGTCTGTTCAGAGCAGCTAGCCTTGTCTCCCTTCTTGTGTAAGAGCTGGTGACACCCAGAGGTCTGTCTGTGGCACTTTCCCCGGTCGAGTCGTATCTGAGGGCAACGCGGCTCCAAGTCAGTACACGTTCGAAGATTTTGTGCAGTCCAGGTGAAGAAACATAAGTTTTATCCTTACCTCGACAGTCTCTCATGCTGGAAAAGTAAACAAAAGGAACCATGTTAGTTTGATCAGTCAACATCCCAGCACGAGTGTAAACTCTACTGTGGTCCAGACTTGTTTATTTGATAAGAACAAACAAAGGCTCGGCAGAGACGTGGTTTGCATTTGGAGAAGAAAACAGGACACTATCTAGCTCAAATGATCACAGCATGTTGATGTAGTTCAATACTGCTTTAAGAAGGGTCACAAAGGCTAACACATGGCCGAGCCTGCAGCGCAGAGATGGCATCATGACCTCATAAGTCAAGCATGATGGGTCGCCGTATGACCTAAACAAAAGACTGATGTCAATCTTTCCTGGTAGATTTGGAATCAGAGCAGTGGAGTCAAAGGCCGCCAACTTCCCTGTTGGGATCAGATTGTGGGATCGTTAGGGTTCAGCCATGTCTCTGTTAGCCGAGTAAGATCAGGTACTCTGGGGTTTCCACTGAAAGCCTTAGAGTTACCCTCCTGCTGGGGATAGAAGTCTTTAAATGTGTGGAAGAGATTTTCAATAAAACATCTTGCGTGTTGGTGATGAGAACCAGATGTTGCCCACATCTTCATGCTATTGGTATCATTCCTGCTGTGTTTTGGCGAGGTGAGGGGATAATTCACTTGGAGTCGGGCGCTGTTCTGACCCCAGAGACAGAAGCTGCTCTGCAGCAAGTGTTTACATAACTGAGCCAGCACCGCCTGTCCTTATGTGGTCATGTGCATCTGCAGAGCCATCCAGGAACACAGATCTCAGATTTTAAAAAGGGGCTGAGAAGAAAGAACTCTGCTGAAATGTTTTTTTTTTTTTTACAGATTTGGCATCTATTCAGCAAAGGTAAGTGAAGAATACATCATCACCACATAGGGAAATGAATGAAGGATTAATACGTAGCTTTAATCAGTTTTAAACATTACCAGTGTAATCTGCAAGGCCTGTGAGGGTTAAAGGAGTCAACTCTTAAATCAATGAGTGCATAACATGCAGAAGTTAAAGCTGCAACATGGCTGAAATGGGACTTCTGGGAGAAGGTTGCACTAATGTAATTGCCTTATTGGGAAAACTATGGAAGATGGAGGAATAGATGATCAACACCAGGAAGCACTGGGGAGAAAATGCATGGGCTATTAAATCAGCAGGACCAACACACACACACACACACACACATACGTGCATGACGCACACACACACACACACACACACACACACACACACACACACACACACACACACACACACACACACACACACACACAGAACAAAAATTTAAACGCAACACTTTTGGTTTTTTGCTCCTGTTTTTGGACTCAAACATCTGAAAATGTGTCAGTATCTGGAGTGGCCACCATTTGTCTCATGCAGGACAACACATCTCCGTCATACAGAGTTGATCAGGTTGTTGAATATTGCCAGGAACTGGAACACACTGGATATGCCGATCCAGAGCATTCCAAACAAAATCAGTGGGTGACATGTCTGGTGAATATGTTGGCCATGTAAGAACTGGGATGTTTTCAGCTTCCAGGATTTGTGCACAGATCCTTGCAATATGGGGTCGTGCGTTATCATGCTGCAACATGAGGTGATGGTCGTGTGTTCGTTGTCCATACCATTCACCTGCCCATACCAGTACTCCACCACCACCGTCGGCCACTCATTCCAAAATATTGACATCAGCAAACCACTCATCCACACAACGCCACACACACAGTTTGCCATCTGCCCTAAAGAGTGAACAGCGGGACTCATCTGTGAACAGAAGGCCTCTCCAACATGCCAAACACCATCGAATGTGAGTGTTTGCCCACTCAAGTTGGTTACGACGATGGATTGCGGTCAGGTCCAGACCCCTATGAGGACGACGAGCATGCAGATGAGCTTCCCTGAGATGGTTTCTAACAGTTTGGGTAAAAATTCTCTGGTTGTGCAAATCGATTGTTGCTGCAGCTCAGGTGTCTGGTCTCAGGTGATCCTGGAGGTGAACATGCTGGATGTGAAGGTCCGGGGCTGGTGTGGTCACACATAGTCTGCAGTTGTGAGGCCAGATGGATGTACTGTTAAATTCTCTGAACTGCCTTTGGAGACGGCTTATGGTAGAGAAACGTTATTCAGTCCCTTGATGTGCCACACCTGTGAAGTGGGATGGATCATCTTGGTAAAGGAAAAGTGCTTACTAGCACACTTGCAGATAGATTTCAGAACAATATGTGAGAGCCGTGGGTGTTTTATGCATGTAGAAATTTTTTTTTCAGCTCATGAAAAACGGGAGCGAAAACAAAAGTGTTGCGTTTATATTTTCTTTTAATGTACGATCAAAGCATCACTTCCTCCATCATAGATTTTGAGCTACTATACATTACCATCATTAGAGAAAGTACCCCCTCCCATAAAAGAGTCTTCACATCAGACAGTTTCCCCTCTAAATTGTCCATAATAAGACTTGCACAGATCAAAGTGATAAAAGCAGAGACATGGTGCTAACAAACAATTTAAGGGTGCACATTTTTGAGTCTTAAACCCTCAATTCTGTTTATGCCCCATCACAATCTATTTAGTCTCTTTTCACTCCCTGCTAACATTTACAGTAAATTCTACAGTAATGAAGTTTTGGTTCAACAGGTGAGAAATCTCAGCTCACAAATGTTATTCAACAAAGTTCATCCATGTCAGACTTGGTTGTGAACTGGTGGAATCAGACAAGAGGCTTCAGCAGCTCATTTACTGTATACAGTTTTTCTTCATTTTTTCTAACATTATACATTAATTTATTATTTTAGTCACGTTTCCTGGTTGTCACTGAGGCAATCAGACTTAAAGTCAAGTTAAGTTCCATAGTCATCATCACACACTTGTGAAATTCATCTTCGCATTTGACCCATCCCCATGGAGATTGGTGAGCTGCAGCTGTGGCTCCGCTCAGGAACTGTTTGCTGGTTTAACCCCCATCCAACCCCTTAAAGCCGAGTGTCAAGCAGAGAGATGCTTGGTCTCATTATTAATGTCTTTGGTATGACCCGACCAGGACTTGAACCCCAATTTTCGAGTCCAAGGCCCACTCTATAGGCCACTGAGAAAGTAACCATTAGCCATGGTATCTGCCAGGGAGCCTAATGCGTGAGTGGTAGGGGTTGAATCAACTAGTCGATTTCACTGCTCTGTAGTGACTTTTTATGACTTTCATAGACTAGTCGCTGTCACGTGATAATGACCGACCACATGCAGTCCTCGGAAAAGACAGCAGGTGACAAGCCCCTGCATGTCGGGAGGCGACGCGCTGTGCCAGAGTGTCAGTATCTGATGCCCGCCATAAAACGGACATTTGACCAAATTGTGACCTTTACCCTCTTGCAATTTAACCTTCCCCTCACCCCCATCCTAACCTTAACCAGCTTGCCCATGCAAAGCTCTGATTGTTGGCACGCTACAGACATCTGCGTCCTGAGCACCGCCACAGTAACATTATCAAATTAGGTGTCGCCACCTCAAAAACAAAGTTAACACGTGATCGTTTATGTCGGCTCCTTTTATGTTTTCTGTCTTTTATTTGTGCCTGATGCGTTTCGCTGCTGTGGAGCGGAGGGCATCACCTGTTTTGTCCTCCGGTGACGCATCACATTGGTGCGGCCAGCGCGCAGCGTGCACTCCGCTGTTTTTGCAGTCGGTAGATCTTTTAGAACTGCAGTTCAGAGGTAACTCATAAGGTGAATACAGGTGCTGGCCAGTAAATTAGAATATCATCAAAAGGTTGAAAATATTTCAGTAATTCCATTCAAAACGTGAAACTTGTACATTATATTCATGCAATGCACACAGACCAATGTATTTCCAATGTTCATTACATTTAAATTTGATATTCATAAGTGACAACTAATGAAAACTCCAAATTTGGTATCTCAAAAAATTAGAATATTCTGAAAAGGCTGAATATAGAAGACACCTGCTGCCACTCTAATCAGCTGATTTACTCAAAACACCTGCAAAGGCCTTTAAAAGGTCCCTCAGTCTTGTTTTGAAGGCACCACAATCATGGGGAAGACTTCTGACTTAACAGCTGTCCAAAAGACAATCATTGACACCTTGCACAAGGAGGGCAAGACACAAAAGGTGATTGCTAAAGAAGCTGGCTGTTCGCAGAGCTCTGTGTCCAAGCACATTAACAGACAGGCGAAGGGACGGAAAAAATGTGGTAGAAAAAAGTATACAAGCTCTAGGGATAACCGCACCCTGCAGAGAATTGTGACGACAAACCCATTCAAAAATGTGGGGGAGATCCACAAAGAGTGGACTGCAGCTGGAGTCAGCGCTTCAAGAACCACCACGAGGAGACTCATGAAAGACATGGGATTCAGGTGTCGCATTCCGTGTGTCAAGCCACTCTTGAACAAGAAACAGCGCAAGAAGCGTCTCGCCTGGGCCAAGGACAAAAAGGACTGGACTGATGCTGAGTGGTCCAAAGTTATGTTTTCTGATGAAAGCAAGTTCTGCATTTCCTTTGGAAATCAAGGACCCAGAGTCTGGAGGAAGAGCGGAGAAGCACAGAATCCACGTTGCATGAGGTCCAGTGTAAAGTTTCCACCGTCAGTGATGGTGTGGGGTGCCATGTCATCTGCCGGTGTTGGCCCACTCTGTTTCCTGAGGTCCAGGGTCAATGCAGCCGTCTACCAGGAAGTTTTAGAGCACTTCATGCTTCCTGCTGCTGACCAACTTTATGGGGATGCAGACTTCACCTTTCAACAGGACTTGGCACCTGCACACAGTGCCAAAACCACCAGCACCTGGTTCAAGGACCATGGTATCCCTGTCCTTGATTGGCCAGCAAACTCGCCTGACCTTAACCCCATAGAAAATCTATGGGGTATTGTGAAGCGGAGGATGCAATACGCTAGACCCAACAATGCAGAGGAGCTGAAGACGACTATCAGAGCAACCTGGGCTCTCATAACACCTGAGCAGTGCCACAGACTGATCGAGTCCATGCCACGCCGCATTACTGCAGTT